GATACTCTTGGGTTGCAAAGGAAGACACTGAAGTCAGAGAAAGGGGGAGGAAGTGTTTTATTCAAGGTGTGGGTATGATAGAGCTCTGGGGGAGAACTGGGGGTCTCAAGAAGTGCAGAAAGGGCTAGCAGGAATTCTCTTTCTTTCTGCCTGAGCCTGTGTTATACATACTAGATGTGATCAAACACTATAGTGAATGTATAAATTTTAGAAAATGTATTATGGTAAAAGACACATTGCCATGAATCAAAGACACATCCCACTGTGCCTGTCACCTTCTGAAGCAGTTCTGGAAGTCCTCTTTCATGAGTGTCTTTATACAGTTTGGGCGCCTGGATGCCCTGAACTGACTCAAAACATTGACCACTCATGGTCATTTTGACCTGAGGGAAGAGCCAGAAGTCACACAGTGCCAGGAACAACAAATAAGTTGGATCAGGACGCTGTCATATTTTCACAAGGCTGGCTTTCTGTTGGATGGCATCTGGCTACAGCATTTATGGTGTTTTTATCAAATCTTATAAAGACATTCATGAAAGAGGGCTTCCAGAACTACTTCAGAAAGTGCCAAGAAGGATGGGACAAGGGTGTTGAAAATGAGGGGGAATATTTTGAGGGGGACTCCTGGCAGTGAATCTTTTAGGGTATGATTATTTTTAAAATGCAGTCATTCATTCTACTCTTTGACCCCTCCTTGTGCTGTCATCATTCAGGCACCTGTGAGTGTAGAATGCTCCAAAGCTCTAGATAATTAAGGCAAAGCGATGAGTGGGTGGCATATGGTGTTGTGGCTACCAGATCCAATCCCCGATCTGCCATGTTTTGGTTAGTGACAATTATCTGCAACAGAAAACCATGGCAACATACCTTATGTGCTTTGGGGAGGACTAGATGGATTCATACTCAGAACAGGACCCAGGAGAAAGGGTACGGAAAGGTCTCGCTTCAGTCACTGTTAGTTATCTCCTCAGCAGGTTCTAAATCCTTGAATCCCATAGATCGAGCTGGTGCACATCCTGAAGAAGCGTGACAAAGAGCCAGTGGGGACATTAAGTTTTAAGTCAGGATGGTTGGTTCTTGTTACCAGCAGTAAGGGATTTTCTCATATCACAAAATAAAAGGATTTTTCCCCAAATCATTCAGCCTGACACAAGATACATGATCTGTGACAGGAGACGTTTTTTCTGGTCTGCTCTTAGGAATGGTCTGTCTCTCCTGTCTGTGTTTTTACCTTCAGGAGGAGTGTCTATTTTGTCTTCTCTTTTCAAAAATGGGGTAAACAGAACCTACCTGTCTCATGTATCAGCATAGAAGAAATAGTCACACCAAAGATAAGTATCCAAGGAATTCTTATGGCCAATCAAACTTTTTTCTAAAGGACTCCTAAATTTGACCATATTTTAATTCTCTTAACAATGTTATGGTAGCCGACCACATTTTGAAATTATCTTTGTCTTGCTTGGGATTTGAATGGCATGAAAATTCCCCCTCTACTTCCCTGCCCTCTCCCAGGGGTCGTTTTTCCCTCTCTTTTCTCTGCCCTGCTTGCCCTTTGACCTCGCCTAGCTCTGCTGTTTCCACAGACTTCTGAATCTAATTAATGTCTCAGTGGCTATATAAATGAGTTATGCAGGCAGGAGGATGCTGGAGACTTTGAGGAACGTGCATTCCTTAGGGAAAACCTCCTTTCGTTAAGGAAAATGCAGGAATGCACATACTCAGGGGTAGAATGCTAGCAGAGTGTAAAACTCCAATCGTGCGTTCACACTCAATAAATATCTGTTGTCTGATAAGAGCATGAAACCTGGGGAACATCGACGCTGACATCTGGACAATCATCAGTCACTATGGAAGCTGGCTGAGGGGACAGATTGTCCAAATATGCTGCCATCCCAAATTGGCTTTGGCTGCCCAAGCAGGGTGTTGCCCACCCCCACTTTCCAGCCAGTTTCCAGCCATTGGCAGGGAGATGGTCCTGAGGGGATCACGCCAGTGACCTGGCTCCCAGGGCCCCAGAATGTACTCCAGGGCTCCAGGACAGCGGGTGAGTAAGGAGGAAGTTCTCCGCCAGAGGAGACTGTCAGAGAGCCCAAGGCAGAGATGGTCCCTATGCCCCACGTTTCCATGGAAACATAGGAGGAGTGATGACAGCCAGCACAGCCGCACCATCTGCTCAGGACCTGGTGAAGGATGAACAAAACAGAAAGGCATCTTGGCGCCCAGGCTGGAAACCACTCTGAGATACCTGTGGAGAGGGAAGAGCCAGAGGACACTCCAGCTCCTGGGTGGATTGAAAATCCATGCTGTCCTGGGGCTTGACATATTAGCATGTAATTTGCAAGCAGAAAGCCTAGAGGGTGTATCCTGCAATCCCTAGCTACAGTTGCAGACAGCTAAGAAGTGTCTGGAAGGAGAAGCAGACAGGCCGATGCCTCTGCTGGAACAGGAGAGAATGGTGTTCCCACACTCAAGGCTGGAGGAGTGGAGCTGGGGTTAGGGAAGCTTAATGATCCCCTTGTGGCTCCCCAGCAAGGCCACCTGCAGAGCTGGCTTTTTTTTTCCTGGAGAAATGGTGGGATCCTGAAGAGGGAAAATCCTGCCCAGTTACAAAGGCAGCTTGAGTTGCGGCCAGCATGCCTTTAGCATAAGGCATGAGTGAATAAAGCCACGGGAAACTTCTTCTGGCGATTGTACCTAAGGGAAGAGTTCAGTGAGATGCTGATGCTTGCTTAGGGTCCACGGAGCAGCCACCACGCTCCACGTTGGCACCAAGTGCCCGCCTGAGTCCCAGATCCAGCAGGACAGGTTCCCTAGTGCTCTTACTGTGTGCAAAGCAGCCTATGAGGAAGGCAGGCAGCTTCTCTCCTTCAGCAACCCTGTTGGAACTGGGAGGTTTGATATGTGTGTCTTCTTGGGGAGAATTTGGATCCTAAGGTCAGTAAACCAAAGCTATTGAAGCTTCATAGAAAATGACATTTTCCAATTTTAATTTTGCATGTAAGCTGTCCCTTATCCTTCATCCTCTTCTGGTCTTCCCTTTCAGACCTGGCAGTCTGGCCCTAGAAATTTCAGGGACCTCTTTGGTGTTAGGGTTTAAGCTTTTGACGGCCGATGAAGGGCTTGCTTTTGTTCACGCACCTAGAAGTAGAAAGATAGTGGGGGCATCTTCAAAAACCAGATAAATAACAATAAAAAGTTCTGCCCACAAACTGCTCCCCATTTTACTTGTGCAAACTATTAATTTAGATTTATTTCCAGCACATCTTAGAAAACAAAGATATGTACAAGGATTACTTGATTTTCTTCAAAAGCTCCCACTGTCCAAGTGGACACGATCCAGAGCATACACCTGAAATAAAAATGAGAATGTGACTATTGGAACTTAACCCTCCTGCCTGGAGAAACATTTTTAAGTGCTCACAGTGAAACTGCTTCAGGCTCAAGCACACTCACACAGCAACTCGAGGGCTCAGTTTAAATTCAGGGATTAATCTACCCATTCCCTGGAGCTGACTTAGAGGCCACCTTTCTGAAAAAGCTCCACGACCAACTCAAAAGCCCCCGTTTGTCTCTCTTTCCCTTTCTGGAACCTTCTATTTATCTTCGGCCTCCCTAAGGAAGGGCACATCTGAATCTTGAGCACAAAGCCGTGTGGGACTCGCACAGTAAACAGGGTTCTGTTTATCCTCCTTTGCATAAACAAATGTGGAGGGAAGGGAAGGGCAGCCAGATCCCCCAGAGGGCCAGGAGGTCCCTTCTGGAGAAGCTTCCCAGCTGCATCCAGGAGCCGGAGGAACAAGACATGTGTCTGGTTCAGCCGTGGAACTTGCAGTTCCGAGACAGGGGCTGTTCCCCTGGCCGCCCTTTCCACCCCCCAACCCCAGCCTTTGTTCCTGGGAATGCCGTCTCCATGTGAGGGTGCAGCTCTCACTTTGCCAGAGCAAACATTTCCAACGAGGCTTATGCTAAGGAGATACTGCTCTGGTCATACAGCATTTCTTCTCCCTCTGCAGAGTGGGGTTTGGGGAGCCTGCCCTTCACACCTGTACTTCTCCCTATATTCATGTCCTCTTTGTTCTTGGTGTTTCCTTGTTACTACTTCTACCTCAGGAGGGAGGTTTTTAAGAGTGGGAAGGTATCAGCTTGTAAAACAATGATTCTGTTTCCTCAGAGTATGTTGAGGCACATTCGTCCATAATTTGGCATTTTACACTCTGCACTTTCCTTATGGATGCTGATAAAGCAAGGGCTACTTTGGAGCTGGGGGGGGGTGCTGATCAGTTTGCAACAACCCCTGCCCCTTAAATAAGCAAGAATCCTCCTTGGCCTTTTGATCTGCTACCTGTGTCCAGAACTTAGTGTGTCTGTCCTCTTTTGGAGGTGGTGAGGTGAGGTGGAGCAGGCGTCCTTAGGTCTGACCCTGGAGGGACCCTGGGACCCCACCCCCGCCAAGAGTCTGCATTTCAGGCAGCCCAAACAGTGATGCTTCTTGTCCAGAAAAGAAACAAAGGACAGAAGCAATGAAAGGGCTCCCCAGGGCAGGGCATGTGGGGTTTGGCACAGCATGAGGTACACTGCATCGATCTGAGCTGCTCTCTCCAGGAATTCTGGGGACTCCGGAGCCAGGCTCCCTGAGCTGTGGCCAAGGACTGGTCCTGCTCAGGGACCCAGGTGGAGTTCCTGGACTGAGGCCAGCAGTGGAGGAACAGAGCAATGGCCTGATCTCCAGGCTCTCAGACTGTCCACACCAAGGAGCTATGGTAGAAAACATTCTTCAAAACCAGGAAAGCAACAGTGACAAGGACTTGAGTTTTTGGGGCCACTCTGATACTCGGCCATCCTCCCAGCTGAGGATCCCTCTGCTATTCTCCAGAGAAATTTGCAGGGAACGCCCAGAGGCCTCCCCCTGTGCGTGTGTGTGTGTGTGTGTGTGTGTGTGTGTGTGTGTGTGTGGTGTATGTGTGTGTGAGAGAGACAGAGACAGAGACAGAGAGAGACAGAGAAAGAAGGAGAGAGGGAGACTGGCCAGCTGGAGGGCCAGTGGGACCCCCACACCCCGCAGACTGCGGTTGAGTCCAGGTCGTTTTGGAAGAGGTTCCCTTTCCTCCACTTCTCTTTATTTCACTTAACTTACTGACTCCAGATATTTGAACCGATTTGTTTACGGCGCGACTGTGGGCTGCACAGTTAACTCTCACCGCGCCACAGGGGATTTCCCAGCATCCACCCCCAAACCTGCAGCTTGCACCCCGACCGCTAGCCAGCGCGGTGCAGGAATCCAGTTCGGGAACTGCACAGAAGAGTGCGCAACCCGGACCGGACCGGAGAGGCGGGTGAGGCCGAGGACAGGGATGCGGCAGGCAGGCCGACCAGGCTCAGCATCCCCTTGCCCAGGGCGCCGCCGCTGCCTCGCCGTTTCCGCCTCCCCCTTCTCCCCGCAAGTCCCCGGGAGCCCTTCGCCCCCAGGCTGCAGGATCGGAAAGATCCCGGGGGTCTAGGAGGAGGAGTGCGGCCGGGCGGCGCGGCCTGTAAGCTCCCAGGACCCCGGGAGCGGCGCGGGGAGCGCAGGGGCGCGCGGGGCGGGGACGGCGCGGGGCTCAGGGCGCGCGCATCTCGGCCTCGCCGCGCACACGCGCTCCCGGAGGAGAAAGGGGCGGCGCGGAGCTGGGCGGCGGGGCGGCTGCGGCGGGCCGGGCGGCCCCGGGGAGGAGGCGGCGGCGGCGGCGGGCGGCAGGGGGCGGAGCGGGGCGCGCGGGCCGGGGGCGGCGGCGGCGGCGCGGCGAGCTCGCCGCTCTCCGCGAGTGTGCAGCGCGCGAGCCGGGAGCGGGTGAGCGCCGGGCAGGCGGGGGCCGGGCGGGGGCTCGGGGTGGCGGCCCGGGGGCGGCGCGCGCGCGGGCGAGGCCGGGATGCACCTTGAGCGGCGCCTTTCCTTGCAGCGCGCGGGCGGCCCGAGCCTTGGAGGCGGCGGCGGCGTTGGCGGCGGCGGCGAGGGCGACAGCGGCGGCGACGCTGACACCTCCCACCATGGACAGCTTCGACTTAGCCCTGCTCCAGGAATGGGACCTCGAGTCGCTGTGGTGAGTCCCAGTGCCGGCCGCTCCGGCCCTGCGGGAGCGCGAGGGGACCCGGCGGCGGCCCGCGCGTCCTCACCTGGGCCGGGGGCGCGGGGCAGCGCGGCCGCCGTGGGGGTGGGGTGGGGTGGGTCAGGGGCGCCCGTCGCGCGGCCCGGCCCCTTCCTGCCGCCCAGGCGGCTGCATGCTCGGCCGCCTGCCCGTCCGTGTGCTCTGGGTCCTGTCCCCTCCCCTCGGTGCTGCCCGACCCAGCCCAGGCGCCAGGGATCCGGGTGCCAGGGCAGAGCGCAGCCGTGGACAGAAAAGAAGCGGTTTTTAGAACGTGTCACTGATGCCTGGCGATCCACCCTGGGCCACCGGCCCCTCTCGGCTCCCTGCCCTGGGATCGCGCCCCTTTCCTTCCCTGCTCTCCCAGAGCCCCGGGCTTCACCCCCACGACCCCCTGGAGTTGGCGCTGCAGAAAGAGCCTTCCAGGAGGACGCTCAGCCTCCTCCCTGCCTGCCCCGCTCCGGGCGGCCGAGTCCTCTCCGTCTGTCCCACCCACTTCCACCCGAGCCGAGCCGGAAAAGTGGGCGCGCAGGGTAGGAGGCGAGTGCGTTTCTCCGTGTGGGAATTCCAGGGGCCGGGCGCGGGAGACTCCTTTCCTGGAGAGTCACCATTCCTCTGGGCCCTTTCTTCACACCTCGCCACAGTTGCACTCCTCCTCCTGTTCCTTTCCCTCCTCCTCCTCTCCACCCCCAACCCTCTTCGGCCCGCGTCCCTCTCTGCCACGCTTACAGCTCACAGCCTGGGACGCACTCTAGGTTCTGTTTCTCCGGGCTCTCACGTTAAGGGGCCGCTGTAAGGACATGGCAGGTAGAAGCAGCTTAATTCCTGTTGTGAGTGCCTTAAAAATCCCATTGGCTGCTTCTGCCCCCTTCTTATTACCTCCACCCCCACCCCTGCTTATCTCTTAGGTGTTTGTTACCGACCCCATTCAGGTGGTAAAATTATTGCCTGCATATTCCGTGAGGAAGGGACCGGGTGTTGCATTGTAATATTTACGGGGACGAATATCTGCTGGAACAAGCATATTAACTGCACTCTGTTCTGCCTCTGGTAATCGCTCATGGTAGCGCCGAGCCCCCCCGCCCCGCCCTGTCCCCTTTAATTCGGCAAAGAGTTCACATGTGTCTGAAGTTGCGTGTGTGCACATGAATATGCAATGCACAATTTTAAAGCTGAACTGCTTTATGATTTATGGCTCATATAGATGATAGGTGGCTATGTGGGTATTTTCAGTGATTTAGGCTCCCAGCGACTTTTATTTTCCTAAAGACAGGTGTAACAAAATAAACTAGACACAAAGCTAGCGCATTATCGAGCAGTCTCTTACAAAAGATCCGACGGTGGCTGGGTACGGCTTGTGCTGCACAATGCTGGCATCTATAAAACGCACAAGGATGGGCCCTAATGTAATAAAACTTGTATATATTACACTGGGAACTTCAAAGAGCCAGTGTAGAAAGAATATGAAACACGTTATTACTCTATAAAAGTTGCTAATTACTGTGTTGCTGCTCTGGAGGTTATTTCAGCCTTTCATTTACAGATACCTATTATTTTACAGGTTTACGATTTGAAATGTTGGTCTCTGGAAGAAATTCAATAGGTTTCCAGACAGCAACTGTACTTTAAAAATGACTTTTGCTTTTTTAAAAGGCAGTCTTGTGCACTCTGAGGGAGGGGCTTATTGTTTTGGCATATTTTAATGCTACCAGGCTATTTGCTGACTCACACTGGGCCCCCTCCTGAGTTTTTAAAGTAGGATTTTGAATATATCAGCTGTCATCTGTGGACTCTTCCAACCTGTACTATATTTTCCTTTGTGTTCCTACTTTCCAGCTGAATAAATCACAGAATAAATGTATGTGGATTTGACTTGAAGTTTATCTTCCGTGCAATACTGAACTTGTATTTTTTAAAAAATAAGCGTTATTAGAAAAAAGAACTGTAAATGCAATCAATTTTAATACATCAGTTCTTTGGCTCATGAAAATATGTGGGCTTTCTTGATTAAAATAAAGCAGGACAGTTGGCATGAATGTTTCTCATTTTGCAGCGATAGAATTTACATCTGACCAAAGCTTTCGTGTTTCTGATAAGTTAAAGACAAATCGAAATCCTTTAGTATGTATTTCCAACATGGTCAGACATTTTCTCAGTTATGGGTCAATTTTGGGGTGGTATTTTATTTCTTAGTTTTATGAGTCTATGTTTGCGGTACACAGTGTTGCATTCCTTGTGGGGAGTTGGACCCTGGTATCACACATGGTTCTTTTTACTTCCCCTTCTCCTTCCTGGTTGGTATTTTCAAGCTCAATTTTATGATTTACTTAAAAATTTAAGTTTTGTTTTACTTTTAAGCTTCTAAGTGATCTAAGATAACTAATATTTGAGTAGTTTTTTGTGGCTTTGATATGTTTATATTTCTGGATTCTTTGCTTGACTCTCATAACAGCCCTGGAAGTGGTAAATGGTAGAAGTCCCATTTTACAGATGAGGACATTGAACTATAAAATGACTTTGCTGACATTTGAAATATGATATCAGACGCTTAAAAACTAGCATTTACTGAACACCTATTATCTGACATTGTTCTAGATACATTTTGTGGTTCGGCTCATCTAATCCTGATGGCAGAGCAAGTACTGTTAACAGTCCCATTTTACAGAAAGGGAAATTGGAAATCCTGGGAGATTAGGTTACAGCCCAAGATCATACATTAAAAATGGAAGATCCATGTTTGAACCAAGAATTAGCTTCTCAGCCCACTTTTCTGACTTAAAACTCAGTACATTTTCTAGAATATTGAAGATGTCTTTCAGTTTATGAGTGGGGCTCTGAAATTAGTTACAGAGCAAAAGCTTGATGGATTAAAAGTTAAGGTTCTGTTAAAATATCAAAGAGAAGTCGTACCATAAGTAGTATTGATCTAACATCAAAGATCTGAAAACAAATGCCATGATTTAGGAAACGATGCTTGTCATTTATCAATTAACTTCTCAAAGTAGATATACATTTTTTAAAAAAAAAAAGACCATTGGACTACTTCCATTAATTCATCATAGAAAACACTTTTCTCTCCAGGGGGAAGGAGGAAGTACAGATTAATAGCAAAAGAGAATATTATTTTAAAGCCCTGACAACTTTATCTAATTGGGGGTATCATTTTCCAGTAAAACCAATTGGCATTTTATTAGTTGTGAGCATGGCTTTGAACTTGAGGTTGCTTATTCTAGCGGTACAGAGTATCCTCAAATGACTGCAGCTATAATAGGAAGGGAAGAGGTCAAAACTATTGCACATAATCAATAGAGACAATCAATTGTTAATTCAAGGGCTACCTACTCTGCCTCCCTGCACACCATTGCCCCACTCGGAAACAGCCACACTTAGGCTTCCAGGTGGGTCTTTTGAGTGTGAGTTATGGGAGGGTTATGCTACTCAGCCACACCTGAAAGAGGAGAAGCACAGGCCTCCTTGCCAATTCTAATCCTCCTTCCCATTTCTAGAGTGAAGCCAAAGTGGAGAACTTGAAGCACAGAAAAGCTGATTATTCCCCACCCCGCTTCATTTGATAAAGTTGAGTCCTGAGACTTGAGGATTCTGTACATATTCAGAGACCAAATTGCAGAGGATCATAGCCCACTACTCCGTCTCTTCATCTGTTCCCTCCTGCCCTTTCTCCTGAGTTCACCAGCTACATGCCATGCAAGCCATTCCCAGGACCTTTTAAATAGTGACCATCCCTCCCCACAGGTTCACTGTTGCTTTCAGTTACCACATCACACATCCTCCTTGGTCATCTCTTAGGTGTAATGCCTCGTGCTGATTACTACAGGGGACGCGGAGATGAGGAAAGCGTGGGTTGTAAATATTGTTGAGCAGGAGAATGAGACAAGTACTTACATGCAAATGGCCATTTTCGCCACTGGCCAGTTAGAAAACTTACCATGTTTGGGAGTAGAATGAGTGGTGGAGGAGGGATAGAGGAAAAACTGAGTTAAAAAAAAAAAAAAAAAGGCTTCCGTGGAAGAGGTGCCCTTTGAACTAAGCTTTGGAGGATGAATGGGATTTTTGCAGACAGTGGGGGTGGGGTATTGAGAAGACATGGAGGCATCTTGGGCAAAGAAAGACCTCGAACAAAGGCTTTCATGGTGTCTCTGAAAGATCCCTTTATGAATCATGGCGGAATTACCTACGCCACATCTTTTAAAGATGCAGAACTTTGTAACTGTGAGATGGTTTCAGTGAATAAGGAAAGTTTTTCAAAATGAATTTATACTTGTAGCTAACCTTCCTTAAGTGTGAACATGTTTGTTATTGGAGAAAACTGCAAAATGAAAGAGAAAATACTCAGATCCTGTTGCTCACTCTGTCCCCCTTCTCTGTAGCTTCATGTTGAACCAGAATCCATAGTCTTTTGTTCATTGTACTTTATGTTCTTCCAAATTGGAACCTTCGAAATTTAACACATGCCTTGTTTCATACTCATCAATTTGTTCTACTGAGAGTGTTCACAGAATATGAGCCATTACTGTAGCATAGGTGCTCCAGGGGAGTAGCTTTTGAGAGTTTTAGAGCCACGACCTACAATACATTTCACATTGCAATCTAATACCCATGCACACGTCTACCCGTAACTGAAACAAGTGTTGTGAAATAGCTCTTATTCTTATTGTGCGTGATGGATGTTGATATTTTCTAGCCTCTTTTCTTTTGACATTTTCCACCCAGGAGTTGAAATTTGCGGTTTACAACCCTAGTGTAGGGTATCCCAAGGGGGGAGAGAGAGAGAGAGCGTGTGTCCTTTAGAAGTTTAGAATCCGTGCACATAGATGGCTTCTGTACTGAAGCCACATTGCCCATGGGCGGGGGGCACGGGCACATTCTGTCCAGAGAGGAAAATATTCTTGTCCTAGTGACATTTCATATGGATCCTAGGGAAGGAGAGTTCAGGAGGA